ACGTACTTCCACCTAGTCAAAACACCGAGAATGAGATGGTTAACTTTTTTACTTGGAATTGTTTGGTGTGTATCAGCATGAAGACAATACCAACAACAATTATATAAATCATAAACTACCTCTATCTACTCTGAGATTTTGAATTAATCAGAAATCTCTTTTCAATAGTATTTTGAATACTGTAGGTTTTATAAAAATACTTTTTTGTATTCTGCAGGTATGGAGTCGCCTCAACATACTATGGAATCAGCTTGAACATCACTGGGTTTGGTTTGAATATGTACCTCACACACTTTATCTATGGAGCCATTGAAGTTCCTGCCAAGCTCACAATTTATTGTTTTCTCAACATCATTGGACGAAGGAAATGCCAATCAGGCACGCTGCTACTGACAGGGATCTGCATCGGGATAAACATCTTTATTCCCAAAGGTCACTGAGAGCTTTTTGTTACCTGTTTTCCAGAAGTTTTGTAACTGCACAGACTGCAGGCTGGTTTGTTTATTTGTAATACTGTGAAAACTAAAGTGGACTCATTTTATTAGCAGAGGTATCTTTGTGAAACCAATAACTTCTCAGTTCAGGTGCATTCATTCACCCAAACAGGGTCACTGTAAAAGAGAGCACAATAAAATCATACCGTGAGATTTTAATGTGCTCTCTTTTACAGGAAGAGGAAGAACGCAGTTTTTCTCGTGTATGCAGTTTTTACAGCCAGTCGTTTGTGGATCACTGATTTGAAGGCTTGAGTTGGGAATTTTGCCTGTTGGCATTTTGTGAAGATATACATCCATCTATTTGTCCATCCATTCTGTTTTTTGAAAACACATCCAGTTTAGGGTCATCGCAGGGCTGAAGCGTATCCCTGTTGTCATATTTGGGAGAAGGGGGGTAGACCTTGGACAGGTCACCAGTCTATCGCAGGGCTAACACATGAAGAATGATAACCTTTGACTTACACTCACATCTATGGCCAATTTAGAGTCACTACTTAATCTGAAATGCTTGTCTTTAAGCTCTGGGATTTCCCCTGAGTACACAGAGAGAATCCTCCACACATACAGGACCCAGCTAACCAAGCTTGCTAGTTTCTGCTAGCCTGTTTTTTTTTCCAGCATACATTGTTCATTTACTATGATATTAATTTGTATGCTAGTTTTGGCATCCAAATCGTATTTAATGGTACCTGTCAATCACAATGTAGCCATTACCTGAAGTATTACTATCTTTTTTTCTTTTTTTTTTACTGTAAATTAGACTTTTTTAAAGATTTTTGTGACTGAGACTGTTTAGTCATCACTTAAGTTTTTAGTCAAGTAATAACTTACAAGCAAATTAAATACATATTTAATAGAAGAAATCACTACTTGACTTCTTTTTCACAAAAGCCTTCTGCTGGCCATTAGAAAGAATGCAGGTTTTTAGGGCACTTTTTTGGTAAGACTTTAAAGCCATTCTCCACTTTTATTTACAGATGTTATATCCTTAGATTACCAGACCACTGCTGTAAAATAAATACTGCAGCTTATACTGCAGTGATCAGTTTTCCCTTTTGTTTCACAGTAACTAAATGTAAATTATTATTATTATTATTATCTATTTCGTTCCTTTTTTTTCCTATAGATTTGTGGCACGTGCGTGCCATTGTTGCCACACTTGGAAAAGGCCTTTCAGAAGCTTCATTTACAACCATCTTCCTCTACACCGCTGAGCTTTACCCTACCGTGACCAGGTCAGTGATTCACTTACTTCCAATCCCTTGACCCATGCCAGTTATTTTTTATTTGGTAGGATTATTATGCATTATTCC